AATGGCAGTAAAATATATACGTATACAGTGGATACTATAAGGAAAACTAGCCCTTGTATTTGACTGTAAGTGTTAAAGTTACTTTCTAGGTTTGGCATGCATTTTGTTTGCTTCATTTGTTTTGGGGAGAGGTTGGAGGGGAAGGTGGGGAGTGAGGAGAAAAGGCTAGGATGTGCCCAAGATTTTCCCCGAGGCCGTATCAGCCCATGATAGCCTATGATGCCTATGATGAGATCACCTGATGGATTCCAACCATGTCAGAGCACAAAGCTTGAGTGCTAATATGATAACTGTCTAAGACCAATTCTTTGTTTTGCAGTAACAGAAACTGAAATCCAGGGAACTGAAGCAATATGTTGTTGATCACATAGCTAGTGAGCAGCTGAGCTAGATGGAGTATTGGTTTTTTGATTCCTAGCCTAGAAGTCTCTTCAATATATCTCCCATGCAGAGAGGATGAATTTCTATTAGATAAAAGTTAGTGCAATGTTGGTGATGAATAATGGTTAAGCAATTAGTAGTAGCCTCCTGAACTTGATGGGTGATTAATTGAAAGCATCATTAATCACTTAAGAATGATTTTTTTCTAAATTTTTTTGAAATCACCTTTGAAACAGCCTTTGGAAACATGAAACAGGTATTTCAGTTGTGACTGTCCTGATTGAAGAGAAGTGTTGAATATCCATGCCCTGTGGGTTGTCAATTGTTACAGGATAAATAGGAAACGGCTTCTACGTTTCACATTGCAGTTCACTGACAGGATGACCCATGATTTTGGGTATCTTGTATTTAGTTCTTAAGTTTATAACCTGAATTCTCCATTCTGCCTCCCACAAATCTCAGGTGAAGAAGCATTATTTAGGGTACTCAGAGATTCTTATCCAAAATAGTTTGTGAAAAAAAAAAAAAAAGGTTTTAGAATCTCTCTAGTGTCCCTATATCTAATGTGACACAGAGACACAGTGAGCAAATGCTTTTGGAAAGGATGGCACTGATAGACCTGCTCAACGTAGGGTTCCCATGAATGTTCAATTTGTAAAAAACAAACACAAGATCTGTGAAGCTCCAAAAAAGCAAAGCACAATAAAATAAAGCACAATAAAACAAGATATGCCTGTATTTAAAAAGCAGCCCGAAGCTTTTTTAAAGGGAATAAATAAAGCTATAGTTCGGAAGCTTACTCCCATACTCCCATGGTGCATTGCTTCTTCGTCTACCTTTGGCACTTTGAAAGGTTCACTTTGTATTGTAACTGGTTATAAACGTGTGTTCTTTGCACTTCTAGGAATGTAAGCTTTATAACATCATCTGTCATTACCAAGTCTTTGTACCTCTAATGAGCACTTAATCACGCTTGAAATGCACGTGTCCTGAAACCCTATAATCTTTTACTACAGTCTGAGATGCCCATTTTAGTAAAATTTCTAAAGAGAATTGAGTGAAATATAATACATTAATGACAATAGCAATTCTGTTGATACTGCTACTACTACTACTGGGATGAAGCAGGGGTAGGAAGAAGCACTTATTTTGTGTAAGTCATTGTGCTGAGAACTTTACATAAATTGTGTCACAATGTAATCCTTACAACAAAATTATCATCTCCATTTTACAGAGTTTCACATGGTTAAATTCCTTGTCCAAGGTCATGAAGCTAGCAGATAACTCAAACTCCCGAGTTCACACTTTTAACTCTTATTGCATGTATTAGTTTATTTCACATGGTTAAATTCCTTGTCCAAGGTCATGAAGCTAGCAGATAACTCAAACTCCTGAGTTCACACTTTTAACTGTTATTGCATGTCTTGGTTTATTACCCAGTCCTGGGAGAGGGTGTGATAAATCTATCCTCTCATTCAAATCATTATGGCATAATTTGGTTTAGTCAATGAAAAAGTTTGAAACATTAAACCTAAGCTTTGTATACCTAGAAATTAAGCTCAGTTTGCTCCAGCAAAAATTTTAAACAATGCCTATGAGAAAAAAAAGGTGTCTTTATTTGTTATTGAGTATCAGTTTGGGGGAAAAAGAAGTCTGCAAATTTCTAGAAAAACCTGTGAGTAGAACCGGGGCTTTTATTAAAATATCTATTTCACTATCGGGTACTAAAGAATTGTACAGAGATATGTCAAATCATGATTTATGACAAGTTATTATGTCATTTTCAAGTAGGAAAATGGTATAATTAATTGTTAAAATCATCCCAGAATTGAAGCTAATGTAGTTTTTTACAAAATCATAGATTATACTGTCATCTGTGTACACATCTTCTTTGTAATGAATGCTTAAGTTTTCTGTTAATTTAAAATAATTGAGTCAATATTATGATTTACACTGACTTAAAAATCACCAAGAAGCATTTTATTTTATATTTTAGTAAGAATCTTAATATACTATTTTAAGTAAACCACTTGTATTTTTCTATGTACATAATCTTTATTTTATTACCTTATGACATTAGCTATGTATATGTCACCAGAGTTTTTCTATTTCAGTTTTCTTAAAATCATAATTCAAAAGATGTGTTTAAATTTGTACTTTATATATTTTGAGAAAAATCTTCCTGTGATCTGGTAACAAGTGGGTTTCCTTTTCGCCTAACTTATTGTTTTGGTTAGTATTTTAGTAAACTACTTATACTAATTTTTCTATTCCTGTTTTCTGACACCTCCAGTAATAAAATAGTGACATTTTGAAGGAATTGGTTGAAAGACACCATTCGTATTCAGATTAAAGTTAAACACAAATTTAAAAAATGTAGCAACTGACAAAGCATTAATCTCCAAAATTCACAAGCAGCTCATGCAGCTCACTATCAAAAAAACAAACAACCCAATCCAAAAATGGGCAGAAGACCTAAACAGACATTTCTCCAAAGAAGATATACAGATTGCCAACAAAAACATGAAAGAATGCTCAACATCACTAATCATTAGAGAAATGAAAATCAAAACTACAATGAGGTATCACCCCATACCAATAAGAATGGCCGTCACCAAAAATTCTACAAACAATAAATGCTGGAGAGGGTGTGGAGAAAAGGGAATCCTCTTGGACTGTTGGTGGGGATGTAAATTGATACAGCCAGTATGGAGAACAGTATGGAGTTTCCTTAAAAAACTAAAAATAGAACTACCATATGACCCAGCAATTCCACTGCTGGGCATATACTCTGAGAAAACCATAATTCCAAAAGAGTCATGTACCACAATGTTCATTGCAGCACTGTTTACAATAACCAGGACATGGAAGCAACCTAAGTGTCCATCGACAGATGAATAGATAAAGAAGATGTGGCACATATATACAATGGAATATTACTCAGCAATAAAAAGAAACAAAATTGAGTTATTTGTAGTGAGGTGGATGGACCTACTGTCTGTCATACAGAGTGAAGTTAAGTCAGAAAGAGAAAAACAAATACCGTATGCTAACACATATATATGGAATCTAAAAAAAAAAAGAAAAAAATTGTTATAAAGAACTTAGGGGCAGGACAGGAATAAAGACACAGATGTGGAGAATGGACTTGAGGATATGGGGAGGGGGAAGGGTAAGCTGGGACGAAGTGAGAGAGTGGCATGGACTTATATATACTACCAAACGTAAAATAGATAGCTAGTGGGAAGCAGCCGCATAGCACAGGGAGATCAGCTCAGTGCTCTGTGACCACCTAGAGGGGTGGGATAGGGAGGGTGGGAGGGAGGGAGACGCAAGAGGGAGGGGATATGGGAATATATGTATATGTATTGCTGATTCACTTTGTTATACAGCAGAAACTAACAACCATTGTAAAGCAATTATACTCCAATAAAGGTGTTAAAAAAAAGAAAAGTTGGGGAAGGGCCAGTGGATGGATGAAACAAGAAAGGCAGAATGCTGGGAATTGTTGAAGGTGGGTGGTGATGGGTATGTGGAGATTCACTGTACTCACCTCTACTTTGATGTGTGTTTGGAAATTTCCATAATAAAAAGATTTTTTTTCAAAAAGAAAATAAAATGACTAAATAAAGAAAATGAAGTGTCGCTTGGTCAATTAGGCTTAGATATAGGTTACAGCAACACCCCATACCAATGGGTGACTTGCTACCTATCTTAAAAAAAGGTGCAAGGGAAGAATATCATTATGTATTACAGTGTTCCCATGACATGATGCCAACATTTATTCTGTATATTCTCTTGCCCAGAAAGGAAAATTTGAGAATCTTAAAGGATGGTGGTTGTTAAGTTTATTTTGGGTTTTCATTATTATTGTCAGCCATAAAGTTTGTATGTTGATGACAGTGATGATGATGAAAATCTTAATAATAAAATTTTCATCATCATTAAGTTGAGAAGAGCTGTTCAATGACCAACAGACTTAAAGAAGATAAAAACCTGGGTTTCTGGCTTTGCCAGTTTGTTTCCATGGATGAGTCTTTCTATCTTCATGAATCTCGGTTTCTTTATCTGAAAAAGTAATGGGTCATCCTCAGTGATCTCAGTGGTTAATTTCTGTCTTCATGTACTGTGATTTCCTGATGTTTGCTGGGAGAGAATCTTCTTTACCTGGTCTCTGAGAAAGAAAAATGAAAAGGCACGAAATCGGATGTTATAGCCGATGGCCGGGTCATAGAGGAATATAGGGTTATTTGTACTCTCTTCTGTTTTATTCAGCTGTAGTTTCTGTAATAGATGAGCACAATATCCCATGTGATTGGTATAGAGGAGCCATGGCTGATGCCGTTGTAGGGACAAGGGGTTACCAAACAGGGCATGGATCCATGATCTTGGCGGCTACTCCTGAGAGCCGTGAGGTGGTTTAACCTTCATGAGGTAGCTTCGTGCACTTACCACACCGATTCGTGATCCTAGTAACAGGTTTCGATGTATTTTAAACAGATTTGTTTATTACAACCAACGCAGGTAAAGAGAGTGGTTTTCAGAAACAAACGTGTTTGGACATACTTTTAGGGAAGAGATGATTCTTACCTTTCCGCTTCCTTTATTTTTGATTGCAGAACTTCAGATGGTGGCAAGGTTGTTGGCACCATACAAGTCAGTGTCGTGAAGATGGGGGAGATTGAGGATGGGGAAGCCGACCACATCACGACAGATGTGCAGGGACAAAAGGTAGGGTCCCAGTCAGCTCACTGCACAGATTAAATTAGAAACGATCAGCTTTGCCAGCTGCCTGGATCGCCACTACCTCTGTGGGGTATGAAATCTCATTATTCCAAAGCTAAATGAGAAATCAGCTTTGGAATGGGAGTACCGTAAGTGTGTCTCATCCTCGTAACCCGACAGCCTATTTGCATGGAACTGTGCAAAGCCATGCACCATTCAAAACACCATTCTCTTCGTAGCTGGCTCCCATGTGGACACAGCCTCTTCTCAGTTCGAAAAAAAGTATTGATCACTGTTGCATCCTGCCGTAATTAACCCTATGTGAGATGCACGGAAGATTCCGGAAGGCCTATTGCCAAAGGTAACCACTTCTCCGCTCTCGAAATTCTCTTTGGAAAGAGATGCAATTTGAATTTGGATTTCGTTTTTATGTGAAGGAGGACAGATTTAACAACTTTGTGCCTTGTGAAATTGCAGAGGGAGAAGCAGGAGGTAGTAAACGGGGGAGGGGGAGCTCTGCTTGAGGAGCGATGCCAGCTGGGAGCAAAGCAGCTTCCTTGAAGGCCAGGATAAAAACCCCAATATGATAAATATCCAGGGCTTTTACTTGTTTTCTACTTCCTTTTCTTTAAGAGAGAGACTCGATATAAGTATTAGTCTAAAGTTCTGTCTTAGGAATGTGATTGCCTGTTTTACTGAGACGCTGGGGACAGATTTATGAACTGCTAATAGTTTTTTTTTTTCCCCCCAGGGAAATGAATTTGTTTGTGTACTAGAATGCCTACCTTTTCATAAATGAGCATTTTTTTAACGACAAGGTCTATTGTGACCTATTTTCTGGCTTAGTGTTTTTTATCTGGGAGCATATTTTAATTTCTTGTACATCTACGTGGGAGACGGTGCAGTGCTTACCTAACACTTAACAAATCATTAACTTTACAAAAAAAAAAAATCTCAACTGCCTTTCAAAAAAATATTGTTCTTGCCCAGCATAGGCTAGGGTCTTACTGCTTCCCCAAGCCTCATTCTTCTCTGTTCCCTACTATCCCTCAGAATAAAATCCAGGTCAGGAACACATTCCAGTGAGGACCAATGTTTGAATCAGGTTGCTTGCAAATGTCAGGGCCATAGTGACGTCATGCAGCAGAGCGTTTTAGGATGTGTGTATTTAAGATTCTTGCCTTGTGGATGGCTCTGTCCTTCAACCCTTGTTAGCTTTGGAGTTCTACATAAGACTCCTATTAGTCACCACCACATGGATGCTTATACTTACGAAGATTAAGGAGGGAGGATCTGTAAGCTAAGAAGGTGGGGAGGGTGTGGGAGACGGGGACAGAATGAACTAAGCGCATGCGCTAGGAGACCAGGAGCTAAAACACTTCCCATCTCAAAGCAGGCCTGCTTTCCCTGTTCCCAACCTATTACCAGCCACCTCTCTATTTTTCTCAAAGCTGGCTCACCCCTTGACTCCTTTACAATGTTGCTATTATGGGGTAGCACAAATTGAATCATATTCTTTTCATAAATGGAGAACTTGACACCCAGGAATATGCCCCACCAAAGTCGTACATAATGTTTCTGACTTAGTAATGTGAACTTAAAAATAAAGACTTAACTGAGCCGTTCTAGAAATAGGAGGTGGTAGTGTCAGCAAGTACCCTGTAGGAGTCATAAGTGTACTAAAATGGTAAACCCATAAGGCAGTGTTGGCTTTAGCTCTGCCTATCTGGATTCTTAGTAAACCTTGACCTCTTGTGAAGTGTTTCATAGAGATACTTATAAACCCTACTGGCAATCCCTAGGAATAGTCATGAAGGACATGTAATAAGGTCCACTATGCATGATATTTTGAAGAGTTATGTGGAAATAACTTTATCTTGGTGTTTTTCAAAGTGTGGTCAGAATCATCAGAGGTGTTTGTTAGAAATTCAAATGTGGGGACCCTTTTGCAGATCTGCTAAATCAGAATCTCTATGAAGTGTATTAACACAGTCTGTTACTAATAGTGGTTTAAGTCCTGAAGTTAGTCAATGGCTGAAATATATGAAAAGACAAAGTAAGTGAAATGGAGGTTATCCCTAAAACAACATCCCTCTCACTGGTTTGTGTGAATGGGGGAGAAAGAAATGGAACTACTCTTAAAACCATAGTCATGTACTGAGTGACACATGCTATCTCTAATTTATAAGGAGCAGCTAAAAGATTCATACCTATGTTTATCGGCTTGGGCTGTCATAATAAAATACCATAGACTTAAACAATGGAAATTTATTTTCTCACAGTTCTGAAAGGCTACGAAGTCCCAGATCACGGTGTCAGATGATTCAGTTCCTGGTGAATGCTCTCTTCCTGGCTTCCAGATTTCTTGCTGTGTCCTCACAAGACTTTTCCTTGGCACAGATGCACAGAGAGAGAGAGAGGGAGAGAGAGAGTGAACTCTGGTGTCCTCTCCTCTTCTTGTAAAGGACACCAGCCCTAGCATTAGGGTCCTACTCTTATGACCTCATTTAACCTTAATTACCTCTGTAAACGTCTTATCTCCAAATACAGTTACATGGGACATTGGGACTTCAACATATGATTCTGAGGAACACAATTCAGTTCATAACAATACCCCGATATAAAATATTACATTTTAATCTTGACTCTTACATTACCTCCAGAGCATGGACAAAAATATAAATGAGGGCTTCCCTGGTGGCACAGCGGTTGAGAATCTGCCTGCTAATGCAGGGGACACGGGTTCGAGTCCTGGTCTGGTAAGATCCCACATGCTGCGGAGCAGCTAGGCCCGTGACCCACAACTACTGAGCCTGTGCGTCTGGAGCCTGTGCTCTGCAACAAGAGAGGCCACGAGAGTGACAGGCCCGCGCACCACGATGAAGAGTGGCCCCCGCTTGCCACAACTAGAGAAAACCCTCGACAGAAACGAAGACCCAACACAGCCAAAATAAATAAATAAATAAAAATAAACTAAAAGAAGCCTCAACATTTAAAAAAAAAATGACAAAGGAAAAAACATTTAAAAAAATATAAATGAAAATCCAAACTCTTTCCTCTCACATACATTTACTTACTTGTTCCCTACAACCATATTATTATGTATTTTTTATCAAGGGAAGATTGTACAGAGGATCATTCACCATATTATACTGGTTCAAACTTCTATTTCATACATACATACATAGAAATAGAACACAGCGTGTTAAAATCACGTAGCAGTAGAAAGAAAAATTCACAAAAGGCCTACAAACATCGTCCTTTTACAAAGCTAACATATTAGGTGAAATATCACATAAGGTATACCAAACTTTTTGTTTCTAATTTTGGGGTCATCTTTGACTCCTTTCTGCCTCTCATACCTACAGTCAGTATGTCAGCAAATCCTGTTGATTTTGACTTCCAAATAAATCTAGAACCCGGCAACTCGTGAGCCCTTCACTGTAAACAACATTGTCTATCACCTAGATTTTTGCAGTGGTCTCTTAAACGTCTCCCTGACTCCCTCCATCCTCCTTCCCTGACCTCCCCCGCCACCATCATAGTCCGTTATCAGCACAGCACTTAATAAAATGTAATGCGGACGTTGTCATTCCTCCAGTGGCCTCTCATCTTCCTGAAAGTATAAACCCAGATTCTCACTTAACGTCCTCTAAGTGTTGACCCCCTTCATATCCTTCACCTCCCCCTCTACTCCTCATTTTTATTCATTTCAGTCCAGTCACATTATCTTCTTTGCTGCTCCTTGAACAGTCCAGGTATATTTCCAAATTGGGTCCTTAAACTTTGTTATTCAATCTATGTGTGAAGCATTTTTCCCAGTAAGTGTGCTTCACTCCCTCACTTCCTCTGATCTTTCTACAAAATCACTTTCTCACCCAAGGCTTCTCTGCCACCATATCTAAAACTGCAATGCCTACCCAAAACTCTGTCTCTCTTCTCTGCATTCTTTTTGTCCTTAGTACTTATCACTATCCAACATTATATATCTTTTTAGTTTATCTCATATATTGTTTATTTCCCTCATTAGAATTAAACTTCCTGAGGGCAAGATATTTGTCTATTTTGTCCTCTCTTTTACTCTCAGCTCCCAGAACAGAGCCTGACACGAAAAAAAATGAATGAGCAAATAAATGCAGTCAATTTTACTTTGAAGAAATTAAATCCAAAATTGTCTCCTAGAAAGGAAAATATTTCGCTACCTGTAGCGCTGTACAAACTGACCGGTCAATAAATAAAGCATGAAATAAGGATGTAGTGAAGAGTGTAGGATTATGAAGGAAAGAGGAAGAAATTAAATTTAAAAGAACCTTTGAAATAAATAGTCAAGAAAAAATGCTACTGAGGAAAGGAGGACCAGGAAACAAAATCATCAAGTAAGGTGACAGATGAGAACACTCATGTAAGTAAAAGCCAACAGGATCAACTGAGAGAGCCCAGTTCACCACTTTGCCTGCCCCAGAGATGCCTGGGCTTCCTGTTAGGGCAGGAAGGTTAACAATCCTCTGGTGAGGCTGGTTAAACCCAGCTCCTGCCTTGTCTTCCCCTTTTGTTTAATGTCTATATTATATTTGAACGTTGCAGAGTACTAATGATTAAAGTGGTAGTGATTTCTTCAAAAAGAATGAAAATGCCTTACTTACTTATGACCATGGCAAAAATGGTACAAGTGGAGTAATAATGTCTCCCTTTGACTATGAATCTAACCCAGCTAGTCTGTTGATGACCTGCTGCCCTTAGGCTATTTTGACCCCATACTTAGAAGAGGTGTTTTAGGTGGACATTTTATCAGACTTAATCAGGGAAAAACTAGAGTCCTTGTGTAGCTCAGGACCAGTCTCAGAAGGTTTCCTCCCTTTATCTACCCTAAATATAAAAGTTGAAAATTATATAACAGGCCCTACTTATCTTTACAGAATATTAAAAGGCATATAATATTCATCATTCGTTCATCAAACAATACAACCTTCTATGTTCTAGGCATTGGACTAGTTTCTGCGTATTCA